AATTACAGAAGCTCTGCAACACCAAGATACAAATGCAGGACCTGCAAGTAGGACTTTTCGTATTACAGAAGCAGAATGCACTTGCAGATCGCCTGCAAATTTGCGCAACGATTCCAAGTCCTTGCAATCACTTTGACAACTTTGACATTTCAAACGGTTAAATCAGTAGCGCCCAAACACTTTTTTTCCATAAATATGACGGAATTGCAGATTTTTTCTGTAATTTGCTCGTTCCTGCAAATAGAAGAGCACATATGCAAGTCAGCCATATTTGCAGAACTGCAAATTTGCAGATGCAAATATACTGTAATTGGGCCCTAGGTTACGAATTCATAACACAATTTGTGGTGATTTGACAGATGTCAAACTTAAACCGGTAAAGGTAAAATGAAGGTAGACAACGACTAATAAACGGAAATGATTGAAAAAACATTCTTATTTTTCACTCTGTAGATAAAACGTTGTACATCATACGTGCTTTAAACATGACTAAAACTCGTGTGATTAGAACGACTCGGTCTACGACCTCGTCGTTCTAATATGTCACACTCATGACCATTTCCATCAAACTATAACTAAGCTTTGCTTAACTATGAAGCCCTTAAAAATAAAGGGACACTCAAATATAATTTCGTTCCACCATAGTTTTTAAGTGCAAGCTTAAGTGTCGTAAAGCTTTGGCAACATTGAATTTCAGGTGAAAGATTTGCGTACCTACTTTTGGTTTTTACACTAGTCGTGTCAAGTTATCTGTCATTCGTCGCTAATTTTTATAAGATTATAATTATTATTAATAAATAGTTGTTGTTGTTGTCCAGGTTCGGTTCATTTCACAGAGATTAGAGCACGAAGGTGCCTAGAGCAGCGTGGAGTCGGCGAATTGAAACAAACAGGGAGAGTTTATCCAAAAAAGCCGGACACCAAACTATACAATAAAGGAAAAAGAGCTGATAATATCGTAAACATCAAAAAATAAGAACATAATCGAAAATAAAAAAAACACGGCCGAAAAAAATAGGCTTTGGGAGAAAAAAAAACGCGAACTACACCAGAAATTAGAAAATTGAGAAAATTCTAATATCTCAATAGAAGATTTCATTATGAATGACTTTGGCAGAAAGTCGACAAACAAAGTCACATAACCTATAAATAGCATTGTCAATGTTAATAATTTTTTTTCAATTTTGGGCTTAAATTTAATATTTATGGCAGTTTTGGGAGAACGTGATATGTTTTATCGAGAGGCGATGAAGCGATGTGTGTTTGGTGATTGTAAAAGTGATAGTCGAACGAGTTTCATTGAATTAACGACCCCATTTGCCTCTACTGGAGTTTTAGGTAACACAGCACCTGTCATATCACTTTCTGTTAACTTTATCAAACGTTTTGCCACCAAAGAAGCCATAGCGAATGCACCGAATATTTACGAAAGCGTAGATTTGACAAGATGCTGTGTTACCTTAAACTCCAGTGGAGGCAAATGGGGTCATTAATTTAATGGAACTCGTTCGACTATCACTTTTACAATCACCAAACACACATCGCTTCATCGCCTCTCGATAAAACATATCACGTTCTCCCAAAACTGCCATAAATATTAAATTTAAGCCCAAAATTGAAAAAAAATTAATAACATTGACAATGCTATTTATAGGTTATGTGACTTTGTTTGTCGACTTTCTGTCAAAGTCATTCAAAATGAAATCTTCTATTTATCATCGCCACTTTGTTAAGGGAGGAATAAGCCTATAAATTTCTGGGCTTAGTTAAGCTTATCTTAATGAGACTAGCAGGGCCCCCGCCAGACATGAAGTCGCCCGCGTGCGATTTCATATTTTGGCGCCCCTTAGGCAGCGGCGTAGCGAGACAAGCAGTCATGGGGGTGGGGGAGGAAACGCGCCGCAGGCGCTATTTTTTTGCAAATATCAAGGTCATTCGCTTTTCCAGAACAATTATTTCCTTTGTGATTTTTCTCTTGATTATTCGATTCTGGGAGGAAGGGTAATTACCCCCTATACCCCCCCTACCCCCGACGCGATGCCTCTGCCCTTAGTGTGGGCGATTGAAAAAGCGGAAGATTTTTTGGAGTCACAGCGAGTCAATCGCGTGGGTTGTCATGTTTTTTAATAACTGCATAAATAATAATGGTCCAGAGTAATTTTGCAAGAACCAACTGGAAAATTTGACAGGAAAATTGGCACATTAGCTGTACGGAGCTAAGAGGCGACCTGCAGCCTGACTCTCGCTCGCTCGAGGGCGCAGGACAGGGCTCTATTAATTCTCAGTCTCTGTCTGACTCATTTAAGATTTTACATGGAACTGAGTAGGACAGGGCACCTGTTCCCGTCCTTAGATGAGCGCAGGGTCCAGGGTCCTTATTCTTGAAACAGTGGAGCAGCATTTCCAGGAGAACGAGTGTTCCGTCTTTGTTACTTATCATTTACATATCATTGAGAAAGACAGAACACTTGTTCTCCTGGAAACGCTGCTACCCTGTTTCAAGAATAAGGACCCTGGGCGTTTCGAGAATCATCAGGTGCCTGGCCTTTGAATAAAAAGGAAAATAATTGAAACACTTTGGGAAAAACAATTAATTACTAAATATTGAATAAATTGTAAATTATTATTTTTTATTTATTCTTTTCTCGTGCGATTTGCCGCCCCTTGGCTATGCCGCCCCTTGGCTATGCCGCCCGCGTGCGCCGCACGCCTTTACGCTTATGGTAGCGGGGGCCCTGGAGACTAGGTGAGACTGGTGGAAAAAAATTAAAATCTAAGCGGCACTTAACGTTAAGTAAACTTAAGTTTGCGTTGGTGGAAATGGCCATCATTCTTGTAATCATGTTCTTAAACGCACTTGTAATGTAAATAACTATTATTTTTCTGCTCACCTGGATGGGACTTCAACTTTTCAAATAATTTTCTGCCTTGGAAACTGCCTGGGCCCCATAACCTCTTGTAGTCTGATTTATAGTCAATTAAACCAGTTAGCTTTTCACTAAAACAACCTTTTATTCAAGTTTCTTATAAACTTATGGAGGATTTTAGCGTCTTACTTTATTATTATTATTTTGAACTTGATTGACAATCGGTCACTATACTTTTTACCTTAGAGCCTTTTTACACTAACTTGACTTGAAAAGTTGTTCTGGAGCATTTTAGAGAAGTTTACAGCACTTGCACTAGGGCGTAACTCAGATAACTTACAACCAAACTAAAGCACTAGTTGTAAGTTGTAAAGAAGACCCCAGCCAAACATATTTATATACAATAAATGCTGATCATGCAAAAAATACCAATGATCGTCATAAAAAGTAAGTTGCTTATAATTAATTAATTCTAACATGTACACTGTGGTAATAGCTATTTACCTAACAAGTGCGGAAAATTAATTTTTCCGCACGAGTCTGTCGTTCACCGAACGAGGCGTAGCGGAGTTCGGTGGAGCAGCCGAGTGCAGGAAACTATTTTCCGCAAGTGTTAAGTACAATAGTTTTTCTACAGACGTGCGGAAATAAGTATACCTACATGATTTGTAGAAATTTATAATTTTTTTTTTTTACAGCCGCGCGGAAAATTTTCCGCACGAGTATCGGTGTGGAAAACTGATTTTTCCGCACGGCTGTAAAAAAAAAAATATATAAAAACAAATGTTCCAATTTGGATAAATGGACAGTCCTAATTGTTCTGAAATAACTCTGAAGTTTTTAAATTGTTCCAAAATGCTCCTGAAAATTCTGATTTGGATATTTATCAGAGGTAAGTTTGACAGCAATTCTAAAAGGTGTTTTGTAACTTTTAACCGGATTCCTAAGATTCTGTGGCTTTTCAAAATGTTTCTGGAGATTCTAGAGTGTTTAGTGTTTTAAAGCATCTTGAAACGGGCTTTAAACCTCTGAATTGTTCTAAAATGCTTTTGGAAATTTCAAATCGGTTTTTGAATATTTTGTAGCATTCTAAAATGGTTTTGAACTTTCCAAATTGTTCTGAAGCGATGTAAGAATGCTTTTAGAAATTCTGAATTGAACTTTAAATGGTTTGAACTTTCCGAAGGGTCCATTATTAGAGTTCTAAAGTAATCTGTAGCATTTTCAATCGTTTCCAGTAGGTAACTTCTAAATTGAATGAGAAACGACTTTTGTGGGAAGTTTTTTTAGACATCTTAAAGATGTCCACAAACTACATCAATACGTTTTTTTAGACCGTCTGCTTACGTGTTCACATCTTAAAGACGACGTAACGACGACAAAACCAAACTTCTGCCTAAAAAACTTCTGAAATGAAATTGAAATTTTTGCAAGACATTCTACAAAGTCGTCTTTGAATCTCTTCTCAATACATAATATAAACCATTATTCACTTTTAGGCCCGGTTGTACCAATAGTGTGTCTCAGTTGTCTCTAAAATATGAATTTACGACATCTTTCTAGACGTCTTTTTTCAGATGCTCAGACGCAATGCATTTGGAACCTTGCATTATCAGTCTTACAGCACCATAAACCAGGCTTTAGGATTTTAGGAGAGCTCTAGAAGAACATGCCTCTCAACTATATAGGAACGAGTAGGAATTTATAGTAGGTAGGTCATGAAATCATACAAAATTAAAGGAACAAATTTTTGAGGACTGGACTAAAAGTTGCAAGAAGAAGATGAGACAAGTGACCGGTGGATCATAGAGCAGAACTCATGTCCGAGGGTAAATCAGACAAATTTGTGGAAATCCGCTGGAAGCAATAAAGACCAAAATTGAAGAAAATCTAAATACACAACCTTATTAGGATAAACTATGCAAGATAATAATGGAAAGGAATCAAATAATATCATCCATGTATGCATATTATGTCGAAATTCTTCAATTTCACATCACCACATTCATCTATTAATTAATTCACGAGTAGATGTGGCGGAACCACGTTCTCTTAAGCACGCACGCCATCCGTCAGTACCATCATCAACAGAAGAAGTGCCGCAACAGGACCAGAGGAAAAAAAAATGAAAGCGCGGATATGTAATAGTCTACATCGAACCTTCTACAATATGTGTAACGTCGTCGTATAACTTTCGCTGTGGTGCTCGCTGGTGCAAATAGAACCCATTGGTCAGTATAACGTTTTCACGGACGTCCATCTAGTCTTCGATAGTTTAGAAATATTTATTGTTTTGCGCAAAAAGTACCGGTGATTTATAAGTGTATGCAACTGTAAAAACAAAAACAAAAATGTCCTTGGGAAGTATTAGGCTGGTGCTATTGGCAGTACTTCTAGTATTTAAATGCGCGATGAGTAGTAAATTTGGCACTACTGGATTCAAGGACGCTGGTAAGATTTACAAATTTTTTGGGGGATTGTTTGCTTTTGCAGTTGGTTAGCTTATAAAGACTGGTTATATTTATTTGATTAACTTTAAATGTCATACATATAAAAAACGAATCTTCCAAAAAATTTAATTTCAAATTAACATTTTGATGCTTTTCGGCTAAAAATAGTAATAATTAATTATGTTAAGTATCAATAATTAATAATTAATTGCTCTAAAGTCTAAGTCAAGAGATTTGAGTCGGAATAGTTTGCATGGTAACCAATAAGGCCATTAAATGAAATAATCGATTAGACATTTTAAGGGAATCTTGTTTCAAAATCAAGTTCATTCTTTATAATACGACCATTGCGAAAATATGTCGTTGTAAATTTATGATCCATTAGTGACTCAATTTTTATGGCCAACAATTTTCTTTAATTAATATTACTCAAAATTCTTAGGTGTGTTATTGGAGAAAAGCGTCGAAAATTTAAATATCAAAATACCACACCCTGAGAGTCTGAGTAAACTTTCTTTTTACATCATCAGTATTAAATACATATTAATGTCTATAAATAGTTTATAGATGATTATTTTCAAGAATTTCTTCCTTCATTGTACCATACCCTATAACCGTTTCCAATGACGATGTTAAAGTGTGATCTATCAACACGTTATACTTGATCTTGCTTATAAAAGGTATTGTTCTGCAAATCTAATCTGGGTTAAGAATTAAGAATAGGGGGATTTTAGTTCAATGGCACATAACTATTGCGTTAGAGATTTAATTAGTTTCGTTTTCTAACAAATAAGAGAAACAACCATTATGACATGAGTTAACAAGTCAGAAACCGAGAGTTGATTTTTAAAAAATGATCTCATTAACAATCCGAAATTATTACCTATTAGCGAAAGCACGTTACAATAAATGTTACAATTATAATTAATTTCAACTGACTAGGAAAATACATATATTTATAATAAGCTGAAAAGCAGAATAAGCATTTTAAATGAGAACTTAGCAAATATATGTGATATAACTCCTTCCTTCTAAGCTTCAACTTCCACATTAGCGGGGGAGTTGAATACTCCGGTTTTCTTCTGGAGCAGGGGTGGAACTCTTCTTCTTTATGATGGCTTTAACATAATATGTAAACCAAGAAGATACAGGCAATAACGATGAGGACATATATAAGGATTGTCCCAATAAGGCTGGGTATTCTATTGATTTCAGTGGAACTCAGTTGTGGGCGTATGTCCATTACTCCTTTGCTCAATTGGTGAAGGTCGTCCAATTTTAGATATTTTAGATGTCGACTTAGATTGAGGGTCGGCATCATGACAAGTGTATTTGGTATGTCAGGAAACAGTATCGGTTGAATATCGGTCTTGATTAACCTATTTTCGTTGATAACTATTTTGGAAGCGGTGGCCACTTGGCAACCAATTGGTATTTGAAGCATAAATGTTCCAATAATGTTTTGTATTTCTTTTTGTTGAAAGTACTTGAGTTGGATGGCTTCTTTGACAGGAACAACCAATATCCATTGATTGGAATCGTCCAATCGATTGATGATAATTTGCGGGACTTTAACTTTTAACCTCGGTTTGTTAGCAGGTGGAGGTATTTTTGTCAGAGTGGAGCTGTCTTCTCAGATTTCGTGAATTTTTTCTTTTCCATATACATATATGGAACTTCGGAATGATTTCTTGACATTCTTAGCCATAGTATGTGTAGTGCAATTTATTTTTCAGCAAGAATTTATTTCGCGGTAAGACAACCATAAACTGACTCTGAGAAAGGATTGGAACCGAGTATAAATGAAAGTAATCAAAAATTTCTGAATACATTATTGGTTTATGTATAGGTATGTTATTCTATTATTAAAAACAAAAAATTCCAGTTCGATTATTTTTCCAAAAAGTGGAGTATTTTCCAAAGTAACTGCTAGGGGCATTTGTTCAGAACTTAAACGCTTTTGTAGTTTGTTTAATTCATGATAAAGATCTTCAGTTTTTATTATACATGGATGCATAATTTTCAATTTTGAGAAAGTTAAAGAATTTTCTATATCTTGTAAAATAGAGTCAATTATCTCATAGATATTGACTATTTGATTTATTGTCTTTGATATAGAGGGAATTTTCTCTATATGCTGCCTTCTGTACCATGTGTGCAATTTGGTTAATTTTTGATTCTAGAAGTTTTTCGTTGTGATTTATTTGTTTGATAGTTTGGTTAAATGTTTCGATTACTGTTAGAGAAAGCGAATTATGTTTCAGAACATTTTCTTGTTAATGATGTGCTCATAACGTTCTCCGTCAGATGCGTCTAGGTTTCCAGTTACAAATTTGAATATCGAGCCTAAGCTGTTAATTAATCCCCTTTCGATTCTTTGTGGCTGATGAATAATTTCTGATATTTTTATATCAACTCTTTTCAGTTATTTTTATCGAATGTATGTAATGCTAATGTCTTCAGAATAGTCTTGATGTCCATTAGGAATGTTTGTAATAATATTAGATTTTATGTGAAGTTTATTTATTTATTAATTTTTTTAAATAGCTTTATTCATGACCCAAAAACAGTTTACAAACAAACTGGCACCAGAGGGCCTACATCTTCCGAACCAAATAATAAAATATTACATGTTTCTTTATAGACTTTGACATGAATTAACGCTTAGGTTACATACAATAACACATTCATTTTTCATTCTTTATACAATGGAGAAATGGAGAGTTCTAACGCTTTTTGTTGTTACTAATGAATTTCTTAGCATGATGTATTCATTTCTTAGTCCATAATTATGGCAATCTTTTATTTGTAGTAAATTTGTTTTCAAATTGGTTTTAATATTACTCAACTGTTTGAATTTCACAAATTTAAATTGTTCATAAGTTTCATATCTTTTTTCAATCTTCAAAATACCAGTTTTTTTATACAACAGTTCACTAGGTGTATTATAGTCAAGTGAGTAGACAAATTTTACTGCTTTGTTTAACACTCTTTGTATTTTATTTCAGTTTTCTCGATTCCGCGATGGTTCGTCTTACTCTCATGGTAGTTCTGTATTATTTCCTGTTTACTTTGTCTACTATGTCTATTAATTTTTACAAACATCTTTTAATTATAATCGAGTGCCATTTAAGATTTTTCCTAACCGCTTTGCAGAATGGTTCATATGTATCCGGGTTCTCAAAATAAAAATAGTATAATTTACCTGGCACAACGTTTTTCTTTATAAAATTAATTGTTTTCTCAAAATTTTTTGAGTTTTTTCAAAATCATAATCCGATATTTGAACTGAAAATCTTCTCTTCTTTTCAAATAAAATTAGTTATTTCGTTTTGGCAGGTGAGTGCATAACCTTTGTGACGATTATTTGATTTGCTCCATATTTACCAGCAGATTCTTCAATTGGAATTTCAACAATAGGGTCTTGTTCAGCATTAGTATGGATTGTTTCATCATCTTCTTCAGCTGCTGGTTCGAGGTCAGGTTGCGCCATAGTTGATATTTGGTCTAGGTTCTCAATCTCTTTGCTGGTCGTTGGGTTAATTTCCATTCTAGCTTCTTCCTCTAATTCCTTATTGAATTCTTCAATATATGATACTAGATTGGATATATTGCCGTCTTCCTTGGTGTGTAATTCAATACGGCTTAGGACGTCTGCATTTGTATTGAGTTCACCCTTTTTATAGATAATTTGATAATCAAAATCTTGTAGTTTGATTCGCCAACGTACCATTTTCGATGTGGGTTTTTTTTTAATTGAAAAGCCATTGCAAGGGCTTATGGTCCGTTATGATATTGAATTTTTGTCCGTAAAGGTACGGTCGGAAGTACTTCGTCGCCTAGATAAGACACAGGCACTCCTTTTCAATAGTGGAATAATTTTGTTTTGAATCATTCAAGGTGCGAGATGCGTAGGCTATTGGCAAATCTTGGGGCTACGCATGTTAGGTTAAATGTCTTCGAAAAGTCTGGGTATTGTAGTTGTAGTATAAGTTCATTTACAAGCAATTTTTTGCAATTTTCAAAACATTCGATAAATTCTTGGTTGTGTTTAATCTTTGCGCATTTCTTTAAGCATTTCGTGAGGGGTTTTGTGATTTTTGCAAAATTATCTATAAAACGTCTATAATTTCCAAGTAGTCCGAGAAAGCCTTCAATTTGTGTTGTAGTTTTTGGGATTGGGTCATTTTTTCTGGTATTGATTTTGTCTGGATTTGGTCACACTCCTTCTGGTGTCACTATATGGCCTAAATATGCTACTTCTCGTCTGAGGATACTGTCCATGGTCCTTTGGAAAGTGCGGGGGCGTTCTTCAGCCCAAATGGCATACGCAGAAATTCGTAATGGCCATGTTCCGTAATAAATGCAGTTTTCTCTATGGCGTTCTTGTTCATCTGTATCTGATGTAATTTGCTGGCCAAGTCCAATGTAGTAGAATATTGACATTTTCCTAATTTGTCTAATAGGTCGGTTATATTCGGTAGGGGGTATCTGTCTGTTATGGTTTTCGCATCAACGCCACAAAAATCTACTATTACTCTCTATTTCTGCTTTCTTTGGAACCACCCAAATTGGCGATGACCAGGGAGAGTTGCTTGGGCGAATTATTTTTTGGTGCAACATTTTTTTCATCTGTGATTCGACTTCTTTTTTATGTATAAAAGGGTATCTATAGGTTTTACTATGTACAGGTTGTTCATCAGTGGTTTTAATTGAATATCTTATTTCACTCGTAAATGACAGTGGCATGTTTTCTTGATAAAATATATCTGAGTATTCTTCACATAATTTGATGATTTTCGATTTTTCTTCTGCATTCAGATGATCGGTGCGAAATTGAGAACAGTCAAAATTGGGTTTACAATCAAGTGGGTCTTCGAAATTAGTTAGATTAATTTTTTCCAATTCTTCTCGATTAAATGGTTCTACCTTAAATGGTTGTGAAATATCAAGGGTTATTGGCTTACAAGTGTTATTTAAAATACTAGTAAAAGCATAACG